TTTGGCCTTCTTTTGGATATTCTGTAGACTGCACAAGTAACAAAGCAGTTTCCCGTTGCTGTGCTCCGTTGAGTTCGGAGTGATAATGTGCAGTGACGTGTCGATATCGACAACGTCATCAATGGTCTCGCAAGCACGCTTTTATTTCGCTGCAGCTCACGCCTCTACTTATTGCGTTTTTTGGGTTTAGTTCGCGAGTCGGCCAGCTTTCACGTAGCTCGACGCCTTTACACTAGCAGGTCGGACTGTTTTGAGTAGCGTGTGAAAGTTGATAATAGCAATATCGATGAGCCACGAAAATATTTTCATCCCTAGACGCTTTTCACGGCGGCGGATAGAATTGGTGCTACGCAGCTGATCCACTCTGTCGACCTCGTTCATGCAAATGTTGTAGGCAGCAATTGGAGTTGGGACCATAAAATCTTTGCGATGCAACATTCGATCTTCTGTCCAGCGACGTATAAGGTAGGTGCCGTGACAGCAAAACGTTGCCTCAGGTGAGCTCGAGGGTAAGATTATCTTCGGCGGTGTAGATTTCAGATCATTGGTGTAGAAAATGACGACTTTCCGATCCTTGTAAGCGATATAGCCAGCTCGCTCTGCTGGTATAATTGTTGGCGTGAATGTTGCTCGAATTGCTTTAGCAGTACGCCGCTGTTGGTTTTGATGAACCTGCTTCTTTTTCTCCCAGCCACGCTCAGGACTAACAGCAGCAACTAGCTCCCAGCCATTTTGTGAGACACCATCGACACGAGCTACTACTGCTGACACTGCCGGTTTGATCCATTTATCAACCAAGTTGATACGAACTGTCCCCAGAAGATGCATTTCACGTCCGTGAACTTCAACAACGCCTGTGCAAATGTGTGGCGAAAATAAAAGCTGTCTGATACAACTAGACAGTGGCCAGTAAGAGAGCGCAGCGCACGCGCCTGGTGCCCTGTCATGGCAATCCACAGCGCCGTAGCAGATTCCGGCTTTATAGTCACCTCGTCGGCACGAAAGTTGGCGTTCTTAGGGTAGGAAATAAGCCTGTATAACGCTCAGCAGGTGTTGATGGCAGTGTGTTGCCCGAAGCGTTACCATACAACGAGTGAACGTAGAGGGAGGACCATCCCACAGCATCATTAAAGCGGACGCCATACTTATCCGGCTTCAAGGGCATAAATCCCCTTGCCCGCGATCTGGCCTTAGTTCGAACAGTCATATAGTCAATACTGCTAATGTCCACTGACACGGCATACTCTGCAAAGAGCTTTTGGAAATGCTTTCATAATTCCTCTACAGCGCCACAGCGGGTCTCTTTCCTTGTCAAAGGTTGAGTGTTCTGATGGGTGTAGCGTCAGTGCTCCACAAATCTGCTGAAATCACGTTCTTGACATCGTTTTAATAAAGGCAGACTGGCCCAGAAAGCGGCGATCAGACCAAAACTGGGCAATCTCATTCAATGGACAAATACTCAATGTAATTGCGAGACCTATATAGGTGCTGAACTCCCTATCAGTAACAGCAGTATGGCCGTCAAAGACCAATAATCGACGTCCATTTACGCTGTCGATCTTTCAGTGCGGACCTGAAGAGCAACGTAAATACACCGACTTCTCGCTGGGAATCGTATGGGTTTGTCACTTGGTCTGATATAGCAACGTGTAGACTGTTGGTATCACGAAGAGAAGCGATATACTGCTCTGCAATGACACTACTTTCTTTCCCGATAGCCCACGAGCTTGCACAGCAGTATCACCAGCAGCGCTCTCCGCTACTTCAGTACCGAAATCCTCTTTTCGAGTGTGTTCACCACTGGCTCCAGTGCTTGCAACATTTTGAGCAGCATCACTGTCGACTCCTGATAAGTCTTCTTCCGCGGCGTCGATTTCCCAGTCGCCTGTCAGGTCGTCGACGCTATAATCTTCTGTCGACATAGTCTTCGTGAGGTCTGGGTCGAGTCTTTGTAACTGAGGAGGGGGGGGGGGGTACCTCTAACAGGCTTATATCATTGCGTTGCTGTCGTAACGTGACGCCAGGAGATGCTTTGGTAGGAATCCGAGTTGACCTTTACTAACGCCACGACAATGCAAGTCTATAAGTGGTGATGACTTTTGGCCAATACTATCAGTTTTACACATCTGCTTGAGGTCCACAGGAAACGTGGTAGCTGAAGGGTGTAGGATAATGCGTCCTAAGACACGTCCTAAACTGTCCTATTTGTCCTAAATTTTACAGGGAGATTTTGGAGATGTGTCCTAAAAAGCGACTAATCCTTCGTTACAGAATATTATAATTTGTGTCCTCCAGATTGTCCTAAACCTCAAATATTAACTTTTTCCGGACTATCTACGTAAATTTACGTAAGAGTTACTTAAAACTCACATTGGCTTTACTTTTTGTCCTGGGGCACACCAACCATTTCTGAATCTCCACTACTGCAGCCAAGCATCATGGACCATTGCGGCTACTCCTTCTGCAGCTAGGGCGCTCGCCTATCTGGCCTCTGCTGCCACCTGCGGAAGCAGTGTCTTGTCCGCTCTGCTCACGAGCGCAAACATTCAACAGTGCGGCACGGACCACTGAGATCCCGGACCAGGCCACCATTGACAAGATGTGCGCCTCGACTGCCTGCAACACCCTGCTCGCTGACGTGAAGGCCATGAACCTGGAGGAGTGCCAACTGCCGGTCGGTGTCGGTTCCAACCTGAAGGCCGACCTGGTAGTCTACGTGCCGTCCAACTGCCCATCGACGTCGGCTCCCAGCCCGGATTCGCCTGCCACAAACGCACCTGTTGTCGACACCCCGACGACGCCAGACAACTTGACGAACCAGGCCGAGCACACCGCCGCGCTAACCAAGACCCCCATCGCTTGCTAACCGCGTCTTCGGATCGACTTGCAGCCAAGTAGCCCTTGCGAGTACTTTGCTGCTTTTTGAGCCCCCCCCCCTTTGTCGTCACGTTCTGATTATTAACCGTCGTTTGCTGCGCATGTTGAAGTCGCTCAACCGTTATTAGCGGCTATTATTACCTTCAATGACTATCATCCTTTGAAACACTTTAAAAATATTGTCACACACTTTGTAGTAGAGAAGTTTTGTTGAGGTGCTTTTCGCGCACAACAAAGAATCGGCTGCTCTTGGAGAGAGGGGCTTTAAGATGTTTATTGTTTCTAGCTAGGCCAGTTGAGGATATGGCTTGAGGACAGTGCATGTTGGGCTTGGTGTTGTCCTAATAGGACAGTGGAATGAGTTGCAGTCTGTCCTATTAGGTGTCCAGTTGTCGAGTGTTTTATTAGGACACGCGGACCCTGGCTTGTTTCGTCCTAAAACTCATTGTGTTGTCCTAAATATGGGTTTGTTTATGAGCCGAATTGCTAGTTTTTTATCCCAGGTTTTAGGACAATAGGACACTTTAGGACTCCTAGTAGGACGCATTCTCTCCTACCAGCTGAAGAAGAAAATTATTTAGTTTTTTAAATGTTTCATAAAACATACCATGGCTATATTTCAATTGGTTTAGACACGCTATCTCCAGCTCAAGGATAGATGCCAGTGGGCACTGCCCTTCAATAAAAGATCCTACTGAGCCAAGTAAACTGAAGTTTGGTGTACGGCTAGTCTAGCGTCTATAAGGACAAAGTGTACTGGAAGCACGACTGTTACGTATCTCCTACAGTAGATATTTGTGACGGAATCACACAGCACCTTGCGCTCGCGAAAGTTGGAGTTTGAGAGTATACAAACGCTCAGTCCACAGTAGTTCACAGGTCCCTTTTGGTCTCGAACAAGTCTCCTTCCTTTAGGGAGATATGCTCGAGCACTGTAGTTGCTATCTCTTCGCCCGGGTCAGCAAAACATCAGCCAAGCAAAACGATGCGCTTACAAATGACGTAACGTGATAAACAAATGGAGCATCATCATACATACTGCTAATAAAACTGTCGTGACGACAGCATCTCGCAGCGAGGTGCTACCCCAACAAAACATGGGGCTACCGCAGCTGATAGGCTCGTGTCCCTATTGCGCTTGCACTAGATTAGTATGTTTTACATCTAGATTGCAGCTCAATCAGCGGCCACGGGCTGTACAGTAACCAAGCTCGCAACCTGATACCCGAAGATTGATAGTGATAGAGTAAATAGCTGACAACTCGCTCAGCTGCAACGAAGTCTGTCCCTAAGAAGGGCGGCGACTGCCGCAACAGCCAAGCTCGAGCGCCGGGTGCCCTTCAGAGTAGATGCATAGACTGGAAGATTGAGTGAGTAAAAAGATGTTAGATGACATCTCGCTAAGCTGTCGCGGCAACGAAGTATGCCCCTGAAGAGGGAGGGGGCTACCTCAGCAGCCAAGCTCACACGCCGGATGCATGATAGCGAATGGTAAGTAGCCTTACCCTTCGCGGGGACGGTCCGCTTTATGTGGTAGCAGGAGCGAAGATCATCGGGGACCACCGTGTCCCAGCAACTTGATAAATGACTGGTCAGTGGTGAAATTTCTGCGAGATCTGGTCAACACATCCTTGTCTCCGTTTTCGTTGAGAACTGACTCTATTAAAAACAACTGTAATAATAGCACTCATAAACTACTATTGAATTGGTTTTTAAGCATTTAAAATTAATTAATTAATTTTAGAAGCACTTTCTCATGAAGTATCACGGACGAATAATATTTCATTACAACTACTTTTATTTCTTAAAAACAATAAAATAGCATTACCAGCCCAACTCTCTACAGTGTAGTTATTAGTTGACCGGATTTATATTTATACCGCTCTACCATGGTGTTTGATAGAGCTTTTATACTATGGTACTTTTGAGCTCAACTCAATTTTAGCACCGGGCCTTTATATATTACGGGGCTTTAATGGGGTAAAATCTGCTACATGTACATGTTTAGATTCTTCTCCTCTTACTAGTTGATCATCTTCGAGGCCATCATCCCTTGCGACCAGCAACAAGCAAACTGAGCCCATCGGATGAAAAGATGTCGAGCGTGCAGCTCGTCTTCGCAACTAGCCCAGGTGGCAGTTGACATCGATAATATTGTCATCCACCTCCAAGAACTTAATGCGTGCGCCGCCTTCATCGATCCACTCGACGCCTGGCTGTGGCTCTTCAGCTGCTCGAATCCGCATATTTTCCTTCGAATCTGCCAGAACGAGAGAACATGTGAACGAGCGCTTGCCGTTGGCTTCGACCTTGAGTTGCCGATTAGCGAACTGGAAGTAGCGAGTGTGAACTGGGCCAGGAATGTTGCAAACCAAAACGTGGGCATCGATTGCGAATGACTGCAGCACTTGGATGCTGACACTAGATCGTTGACTGTGGCTCCAGTTTGGTGGCGTAAACACAAGAGGCCACCAATTCAATTCTGACGGAGACACAGCAGCGTCGGCTTGATCGAACGAGCAGCTAACACGAGCTGACAGTCGGACGTGCCCAACGAGAGAGTCATCAGATGCTCTTCGTGTCAGTGGGGCGTGGTACACTGTCCATCCAAACATCTGACCAGCAACTGACGGCTTGGCATTAAACTGTTTGTCGCAGTTTTGTATGGCAGCGTCGTACTCAGCTTTAGAGAACGGGTGGAAGTGGATCCATTGGGGAACGGGACGCGCCATCCGTCCTCATGTTGAGAAGAAGGGACCCATGGCGACGATTTACTCGCCGTATACACGTTCGGTGAAGAGGTGTCATTGGCCTCTGGAATCACCCCGATGGCTCGAGCTTGTATGAGAAATTGAAAGCGTTCTTGACTGTGAATCTCCTTCATCATCTCCACGTTCTCTGTGCGTAGAGCATCACACTCGAGAGCGAGACGATGCAGTGCTCGGTACAGTTCACTTGAATTGTCGCCTTCTTGGTTCATTGTCGCCAAACATTTCTTGACTTGAGATTCGAGTAATTTGCGTTCAGCTTGTAGCTGTTGGAACTCGCTCTTCTTCAAGACTCGCAGACGTGCCATACTCTCGCAACGCTGCTGTCGTGTCATCACTGCTTTGATTTGCTTGGACCATTCTTTCGTCTTCGAGTCGGCCCAGTCGTGAAGCTGCACCCAAGTCTTCTCATCTATCTCTTCTATAGATGAGGTGGCGGCGTCTACGCGGGCTGTGGCTGAGAGCATACGCGCTTCTTTCTGACGAAGTGGTGAGGTTATTCCGTATCGATCACGATTAAAAGTAAGCGTGACAGTTTGTCAGACTGACCACGAAGTTGGTGAGACTCTATCGGTTTAGGCAACATCAACGGTCGAGTCTACCTCTCCCATCCTTATAAGAAGATCAATTTTAGGAAATGCTCCGTGTGTACCTGTAACAATAGACACACACTGGGCACTTTTAATTAGCCCAAGTTGTCAAATACCGCTAGGTCTTCCAAAAGGCAGTAATCTATTCAATTTAGAGGGGGAATGAATGCATCCTAGTTGCTCAACGAACACATGGTACCCCATAAGAATTGCTTACGGCATCGCGTTGATGGAGATTCAGCTCTGTCGTTGGATTGAGCACACAGATGTGATCCGTTACTGCTGGTGCCACTGGTTTTTACATATATATTAAAAATACGGTTACTCACAAAGAGACAAGAAAAAATTAAAGTAAATAATTTCATTGAGTCATGGAGCTCAACGTAATAAAAGCATGATTCGGCTCTAAGGATGTAGCACTTATCAAGGGAGCTTCCAAGGCCTTGACACAGTGAGTGATTCGCTCTCCAAATCGAATACGCAGATGAGAAAGTTACAACCAGGTCTGAGTTGGGGGCGGGGGGCTTGCTTACATTTCTATTTCTAACCAACCGTATTTGTTCATTTTTTTTCTTAGGTCAAATGTAAATTATCATACGAGCTGCCCGACGTCTTGCCTGTTATCGTCTTCGAATCCCATCATAGTTTTATAGAACTAGACGCATTTGAAGTCCTACTTTCTACGTCACTATCAATACCACAGTCTGTCTGCTTTCGCATAGCTCTACGTCGCTATGCCGAAGCGAAAGCGCAGCATATATTTATCCAATTTAAGTGCGAGTAACAGGGCTAACAACCGCTTACAGAATCGAAAGGCTACGTGATCAATGCGTGGCAGATGACAAAAGTGCTTTAACAACTGAGTATGATATCAAGATGATCATGTTCCAAGCCTCTATAGTCAAAGGGTCCACCACGATTTCTCCGGCTAATTGCGACTCCCATAGAAACGTGACATCATTTCTGTATTCATTATCATCTTGAATGAGCACGCAAAGCCTGAACAATAGCAAAATTGCACCTGAAGAGTACCCTACTCCATTTTAATATTGCGGTACGGCTTGGTTTTGAGATAGAGTCTTGGAAATACTCGCGTCATCCCGAACTAGGCTGCAACTTTTCACTGGCTCTGTTCACGCATAATTGCCTGCATAGGGGGGCCCTCTTAGTCAGTGACATCAACCACATCGTACTGAAATAGGGACTGCAGCGGAGCTCCTCACACACTCGACCATTCCTTAAGCGAGGAGAGACTATTGAGCCAACCTGGCTACGACACAATGATCAAACTGTCGCTCGACTTACTGTAATTCCTGCTGCATGGTCTGTGGATGATTCTGATTCTTGCTATAGAACCCAACAGCAAATGAAACAGTATTTCGAATAGAAATTGGGAGCTAAATGAGTTACGGCACTCGCTGCCTTCATTTCGTACAACTTCCGGTCTCGTTCCAAGTGGACAGCTCAAAGTGGTTAATATGCCTTGACAGTTTTTGTTTTGGAATGCTCTGAGATTACATTAAAAAAATCGATTATTTACAGTAACACGGCCGTCATCGCGCGCAATCATTGATTGCGTGCCAAAAAAAAAATCAGAAAGCTTTCTTCTTCCTTCATGTTGATTCTGTACATGTATTAATGCCAGTTTCCTTGAGATAATACAGTAGAGGTATCATTTGTATACTGGGCCAGAAATTCTTCATTGATCGTGAAAGACTGTAGGTCTGGAAAGCAGATCACTGACTATGACTCCACGAGGTCGCTGATTGAAAACTCGGTGGCTCTTAAGTATTTATAAACTGAGGAGACACAGCAGGTCGGCTTTATCGAATGAGTAGCTTGCAAGTCCACACTCCCACGTGACGAACGAAAGGTTATTTGATGGTCCTTGCGTCTGCGGGGCGTGATACACGTCCATATAACAACATTGTTCAATGTTCAGCAACTGAAGTCTTTACATTAGATAGATCTACCGGATTTTCCCTGGTAATATCTAACTCAGCGCTCTAATAGACGAGAAGAAGGGACTCGAGGTTATTTCCGTTGAACGCCATCAGGAGTTGTAGCCTGGACAAGAAGTACATGTAATTATACTAAAGGGTATCTAGAAGCAAACCCTTAGCCCGTGTACCGACGACATCATGAAGTCCGGAGAAGGCATTTCTACTACGCGAACACGAGTTCCTGTGAAAAAACTGTACGTCACGAAACTCATCTTGGTGTTTATAGGTTTTTTTGCACAGGTATCAAGTTGGGCCGAGGTCACTATAATTTTGTACGCTGCGATTATGGTAAGGTTTAGAGGTGGAGGTGAAATTTGCACGTTAATAGGAAAAGCAATGTACGCATACACTCCCAAGCTAGTGCGGAAAGCGGTCGAGCTGTCTGTACGGGTACAGCGACATCACTTTTTAAGCGCCTCTATCTAGACAAATGAAATGGGCGGATACTATCAACAGTGATTTTATTGAACGTGTGAGAGCACATACTCAGCGTGAATCGGCGTACAAAGAGGCCCTTCAAGAGTTCGAGAAAGACGCATACGCTATGGTATGCAACGTGCTTGGCCCAGTGTATTATCGATTTATCTTTGTACTACGCAGATTGTCGCGTAAAAATACTAACGGAAAGCGCGAGGACTGCTACGTCATGATCATTGCAGATACGAAGGAGAATGCACTCAGTCGAGCAGCTGAAAAGACAGAAAACGTCGTTCATTGAGTACAAGAAGGAGGAGCATTTGTAACCTTTACGGAGGTAGACGATGCCTCGGTGGACGTGAGCTACGACCATTGGACAAGTTGCGAAGATCAGCGACACGCGCAATTTCTCTTTGTTCAGTGGGCACAATATGCTAGTTGGTGGTCAGAAGGGTCAGAATTTTTCCAAGCGGATGATTCAAAGAATCGTGAATCAAGTTCTGGTTAGCACTAGGTTGATCAAAGTACAACTTGGATGGATCAACTCCTACCTTAGAGCTGCACCATGAGGTGATCTTCGCTCAGATCTCCTCATGATTACTTTTTATAAAAGAACCCACTAGCGTCAACGATGCTTTCACTTTGCTACGAAGCCCAACGATACGTTACCGGTATTTACCGCCCCCTAACCTTGCAGCGTGTCTGTCCGTCCGTCTGTCAATAAGTCCGTCCGGTTCCTTTCTTGCTGCTTTTTCCTGCCTTTTCGCATGACTACAGTCGGCCTGTCTAATACAGTTTCCTCCCATCTTTCCGACCGCGCCTACCTTTCTGACTCGACTTAACTATGCCAAAATTACAAATATATCCAAAAGCGTGACGCAATTAACTCGCGCCCTGATTGGGCAATACCTGCCGACCTGCGACACTGACTGGATCTGTCGCACGATCAGACCGCCTCTCTCCCTCGCGATTGGACGTAAGGTAAACATTTCTGCCCCGAACGAAACACATTGATTGGATGCAAACAGCCAGCAGATACTTGATTATTGCATTCAGCAGCGCAAAACCTGTCGTATGTAATGCAAATCGGGCACAGTAACCACTTAATTTTCTAAGAGCTCTGCACACATAGAGATATGTAATATTATTTATGTAGACTTCACAGACCAGTATTTTGTAAGAGCTCTGGGATGTAATTTTCCACACACTTTTCAAAGTAAAGACGATATTGATAATATTAGTATTATTAAAATAAGCTTCACAGGCCGCAATTGTAAGAGCTCGGCGATGCTATTTTCCACAGACTTTCTAAAGTGGAGACGATAGTATTTTTTAATATTAGAGTAGGCTTCACGACCAGCGCTTTTTGTAGGGACCTTGCGAATATATATATATTTTACTTCACCTGGCACTCAACACTGCCACCGTGCAATGAAGGCGCGCGGCTGCACGGTCATTGCGCTATCTGCTCCCGTGCACCCCACCCGACGAATGCATGCGCGCACAATAATAGTCTTTTAGTCAATTTATATTGCATGTAAAGTATGTTTTTGTTTGGAAATCTGATATTAATATATTAAAGATAAGCCCAATATTAATAATATAAAACATTTTACTATTTAGCTTAATAATAAATATCAGCCTTTTATTACCGTGCTATTGGCTAATATTTGGACGAAAGTAATTTGTTAAAACAATATATTTTGCTAACATACGCACAGCTTGCAAAATGGTGGGCCCTACGTGCAAGCAATGTGAGGCGAAGATTGACCCGCTTCTGCTGAACCCGCAACGGTCTACGACGGATGCCCGGCCGCGCTGCGTCTGCTGCGGGAAGCTGCAGTACGGCTACGCGTTCCGTACAATCAGCGGGCGGGACATCGTGCGGCGCTGTATTGCCTGCGAGAACGGCCCAAAAGCGGCTGAGTTTTGGGAGGACCCCCCCCCCCACCTGATTCGGCCGAAGTGCGCCGCCAGGAAAGCCTGGCGAACGTCAAGAAGGCAATGGGTCCTGACTGGTACCCCAAGAAGAAAAAGAGGCACAGCCGCCCTCGCAAGCTGACCGCCCGAAACGTCAGGTACATTGATTAAAAGAAGCAGCAGAAGAGCAAGTAATTGGTAAGTATACCCTTTTAGCCCCTTACCCCGCATAGGTTTGTATACTGGCTGACGGTGCAAGGCTTGGGGTCGCACATACTGTAAGCTGACTGTGGCGCTACCAAGCGTGTTGACGCGCCTATAGAGCGTAGCGCGCTTCAAAATATAATAAGACATGGAATCAACTGTGCACCGCTGCAAGTTGGTGGTTCCTATCCGCATACGCGTCACCGTAGATGGCACGTACACTCGCTCACGTGGGCACACGCAAAACCATGCTATCTGTACCACCAACCCTAACAGTTTATATTTCACTAATGTGCGCTCACGAATGTAAGCTTCAGTATTGAGTGAGCACTA